AAGGAATTATAAAAGAATGCCCCTTTCTCATTCATGGTATCTTCTTATTGATTCCACATGAAATTGTGTGAGTGGGAGAGAAGGGCTAGAATCAGCCCCTTCCTTGCTGACAATTACTTCCGTTTTTACATAAATCACCCCATAAGGCACCTGTCTAATGTGTCATTCCATCGCATGTAGTATATTTCACGGAGACAGTGATAGGAGCAAGGAAGTACTTCCTACCTTATAAAAGAAGTATTGCACAAGCTCAGATATCCTAATGTAATAAAAATGCCCATGAACAAGCAGCATCTTCTTTAAATGCTTAAATTTAGGTATTGCATAGTCACTGTTCCTTGCAGCCTGACGACCTTCCTTTCCAATGACGCCTATAAGAAGGGAATAAATACACGCTTTCTCAACAACATGCAAGTAAAAATGGGAATAAGAAAATAAGGTTAAATACAACTGTGGCTGTGAGATTTCTCAGCCATGAACGTACTAAATCTCAGACGCTGCCCTAAATGTGTCATCTGAAGCCTATGATCTTGCCTTTTGCTGTATCCCCTTTTTGTTTAGCTGAAGTGATAAATCTCAGTCACCAAAATATGCAGGAAGTTAAAAAACAAGAGGCTTACCTATGCCCACATGGGCCTCCAGGATCATGCTGACATCATTTGCGCCATCACCGATGGCTAATGTAATAGGGTGCTCTTTTGAAAATTTGATTAATTTAACAATCTGGAAAAGAAATACAGAACTGATCTTCTCTGTTTTACTCTTGATAAGGTTATCATTAACTAAGTATAAATAAGAAAGATATGTTAGGTAAGAAAAACGAAAAAATTATTTACTTAAGGAGGGGTGGGGGACTTCTTTTCTGCCAAGGGCCATTTGGATATTATTTATAACATCATTTGTGGATCATACAAAATTATCAACTTAATAATTAGCCTGCTATATTTGGTCAAGCATCTAATTAACTCACCCCAATGGCTTGGCGGGGCCAGACCAAATGATTTCGTGGGCCTTATACTACCCATAGGCCAGATGTTCCCTGCCCCTGGTTTAAAGTAAGTGTACTACATTCGATCTACTTTATCATATATGATATACTTCATATTGAAAGAAAAAATAAAGCAAAAGTAGATAAGGTTTGATTACAAATGAGATATGTAGGAAGTGGCTCGCTAACAAAATGAAGATAGACATAAAATAGATTAAGTAGCCGAGACCGGTTTGGCTCAATGGATAGAGCGTCAGCTTGGGGACTGAAGGGACCCAGGTTCGATTCCGGTCAAGGGCATGTACCTTGGTTGCGGGTAGGGGGTGTGCAAGAGGCAGCTGATCGATGACTCTCTCTCATCGATGTTTCTGGCTTTCTATCTCTCTCCCTTCCTCTCTGTACAAAATCAATAAAATACATTAAAAAAAAATAGATTAAGTAGTTTTCAGTTACAGCTACACTCACATACAATATTTAAACAAAAGGGAAAGTATATGTAAATATAAAAAGAAAAATCTCAATGTTGTATTTTATTAGAAAATATTACTATTTGCTATCAAGCATCTACTTTTTAAAATAAGAAATTCTTATGCTATTTTAATTTTCAAACTTGTCATTGTGTAAAAACAAACCAATGCAATTAATAATTTCCAAATGTTTTAGGCAATTTCTTTATAATATATCAATTTTCCATTCATGTGTCTAAATGATGGTTTGAGATACAGAAGTAAGAAGATTAGGGGGGAAATGTGTAGATTGCCTTCTTGTTTCAAGATGATAGACTGAAACAAAAATTAATCTGTAAAACAGTTTGTTAGACTCAGTTCAGAACTGCGTTTATGTATAGTCCATATAAGGCTGACATAAGAGGGGTAGGGAATAAAACCGTTTTTTATCTTAGATAGAATGCATATGAGTTTTTGAGACTCAGCTTGTCCTCACAAAGAATTACCCAGGGAGGTCCAGTCCTATATTCTTAGTAACACCGCCCCTTAACAGATTGGTGAAGTGCACGTGCAAGGACGCTAAACATGACCTCTTTGCACGTGGTTTTCAGGGCTTTACCTTAACCCACTGGGCTAGTCTGAGCGGTAACAGTTTTCTTTCTGTTCACAAGAAATTGGTCTAATGTATCTAAAATGTGGTTTAACAAAATTGGAACTGTTGTAGTCCTATATCAGAAAGAGATCTATGATCTATGTTCACCTATGTATGCCTTAATGCTTTAAAGAGTATTTAAAAACAAACAAACAAAAAAAACACATGAGGTGCGTGTTTCCACAAGAATATGTTGCAGTGGGTAGAACGTGAGTTTGGAATCCGACAAACGGGAAACTAAATTCTGGCTGTAATTTTCCAAATGCCTCCTTTTCGAGAAAACCCTGGTTTTCTGCACCTCAGGTACTTCCTTTGTAAAAGTAGGTTAACATCGGCCATCTATCAGGGTTGCTCTGAAGGTGGAACGGGTTCGTGGGACTGGCTCAATAATGCTAAGGCCACACCGTCTGCCTTCAGTGAGCATTTCTATCAATGACCACACTTTTGTGGCACGGTTTTATTTTATGAGACAAGTCAGACAGAGACATGGCCCTTAGAAAAGGGTCATCCATCTGATTCAGTGACCTTGTACTAATCACAATAGGCAAAACAAGACTCGTGTTTTAAATTTCTATCACATTTACTTCTATGTAAAAACAGTGGCACTTTGCTAGATTTCAAAAAAATAAATCATCAGTGGTTATGACAACTAATGAATGGCTTTCAGTATTTAAATACCCATCAACCACTAGCTAGTGATAAGGGACAGGGGCACGGACCTGGGCCTTCTGCAGAGGGGCCATCCGGCAGCACAGCACGGCGCTGCAGTTGCGGCAGATTTCAAGGAACCGTTCTCGGTAGTTGCTGGAGCTGCCATCCTCTCGGGGTTTCATTATTAAAGACAGTGCAGCGCCATCAATAATTAAACCGTAGTCTTGCATATCTGTGGAAAGTCTGTTAATGACACAAATCAGAGAGGTTACTCAATAACTAAGTTTATAGAACTCAGAAGACTACGTAACTTTCTGGAATATCTAGAGATGCTACAAATCCACGATCAAGGGATTAGGAGACTAGTACAGTCACTTGATGTTGTCAATAGATTCTGTGACTTTAAGCAAAACAATGTATAAGGAAACCGATTTTACCATAGGCCAACGTACTCAAGAGTTAAGTTCCCATGGTGTCTCTTCAGTGTTATATCAAAACAGCATTGAACGAAATGATGTTTTTCAAGGACCTGCTATACAGTAACTCTACCACCTTATCCTCGGAGAACACTTTCCAAGAGCCCCCAGGGGTTGCAGGTAGAACTGACCTATATACACTATGTTTTTCCAGATGCATACATATTTCTGATGAAGTTTAATTTATAAATAAGACGCAGTAAGAGACCAACCATAATTAATAATAAAATATAACAATTATAATAATATACTATAATAAAAGTTATCTGAACAGGGTCATTCTCTCTTGTGGATATAATGGACAGAGGGATGATTCACATTCCAGCTGGGGCAGAGCAGGACAGCTTAAGATTTCACCATGCTACTCAGAACAGTGCACAGTGAAAACCTGAGAATTATTTCTGGTGTTTTCCATTAATACTTACTGACCATGACCTCAGGTAACTGAAACTGGGGAAATAGCTCTGTACTACTCATGAAGAATTTAAAATTTGCATTTGATTAGAGAGCTGCTTTTGCTTTACCTATTAATGACAACCTAAAATGATTCAAATAAAGTCTATTCTTAGATCATGCAAGTAACACCAGCAAGGACAACATTTTTAAAACGTATCAGAATAAATTCTGAGTATTCTTCGAAAAAAACAACTCTGGAGCATATATAGTTTTATCTTAACAGACAGGCAACCATGTATTATTAATATTTCCTTCCCTGGTCTGGCAAATGCTCTGAGGAATCCAAAGTACTGCCTGTTCTCCCCACCCCCTACCCCAAGTGTCTTAGAAATGAGAACGCAGCCGGTGTGGCTCAGTAGTTGAGGGATAACCCATAAACTAAGAGGTCATGGTTAGATTCCCAGTCAGGGCACATGCCCGGGTTTCAGAGTCCATCCCAAGTAGGGGGCATGCAGGAGGCAACCGATCAATGATTCTCATCATTGATGTTTCTCTTGCTCTCTACCTCTCCCTTCTTCTCTCTGAAATCAATAAAAATATATTTGTTTTAAAAAGACACATGAAAATGATCATATTCATAATATTTTATAAATCAATCAAGTCTTTTTGTATCCTTTAACCAGCAGTGTCAAAGTACACACACACACACACACACACACACACACACACACACACCCTCTCTTATGCACACCCTCTGTGTACAAAGACACGTTACAGTTGCTAAAAAGAAATACCTCTGCTTTTGTTTCAGGTGGTCCCTCTAACCACGCTGATGCTGGTACTGATGGGAAGGCAGAACCACGTTCCCAGCAAGGGTGTTGAGGCTCTCCCCTTGCAAACGGAGGTCACCTACCCTGAGAGGTTGTCCCTGGTTAAGCTGCCATTCTGGCGCAGGACCGTTTTACTCAGCTCGAACAGGACATCATGTAAACTTTGCTCCTCGATTTTCTTGGTGGTGAGTTCAAGCAGCTGTGTGTTCCTCCTGAAGAGTTTGCAGGCGTAGCAGGTGGCTGCTGCCGTCTCCATCTTGTCCCCGGTGAGCACCCAGACTTTGATGCCGGCCTTCTGCAGAGCTTCTATGGTGTCAGCAGCTTTCTCCTGGAGCCTAGAACCCAAAAAACGAAACAACAAACACCAGGGCTGACAAAGGCAAATCAAAACAAACCATTTCAGGAACTTGTGACCTATTAAAATATTTTAATAGGCCTTCAGAATTAAAAAGCTCCGTAGTGCCCTGGCTGGTTTGGCTCAGTGGATAGAGCAACGGCCTGTGAACTGAAGGCCTTTATGGGAAATAAAAACTCAGTAAACTTATGAAACTTCTACACCTCCTTTTACATTGGAGTATTTTTTCTTTTCCATTTTCATTCTGTTCTCAGCGGGCCCTTGGCCATTTCTTAGTGCATTAATAAGCCTTAAGTTTAACTTTTAGCTCTTGTTTCAGACTTGTCACAGATTAGAGGCTCTTTATTTAGAAGCATTTGAAAACCTGTCATGCCGAAACCGGTTTGGCTCAGTGGATAGAGTGTCGGCCTGCGGACTGAAAGGTCCCGGGTTCGATTCCGGTCAAGGGCATGTACCTTGGTTGCTGGCACATCCCCAACAGGGGGTGTGCAAGAGGCAGCTAATTGGTGATTCTCTCTCATTGAAGTTTCTAACTCTCTATCTCTCTCCCTTCCTCTCTGTAAAAAAAATCAATAAAATATATTTTAAAAAAAAAAGAAAAGAAAAAAAAAGAAAACCTGTCATCAGTAATTTTACCAGTTCTTATATTATTTGCAATATTCCACTTGATTACATTGAGCATGTAATCAAGTGTATTTGATTACATCTGTATTTGGAAAGAACTAGTAACAAATTTAGACACGTTATTGATTCAATTCTAAAGAATAAATTTAAAAAATAACCCTGTAAGATATCTTGACTATGCAGAACATAATTCAAAAAATGCTGACTATTTCTGGTTTCTTCTGGGAAAGTGTGAATTCAGGAATCTTATTCATGGAAAGTAAAACATCACCTAGTCATGAGTTGCCTGTGATAGCACCTCCCCCGATCCTCGCCCCTCCACCCCCACATGCAGTCAGACAGCCTGTCTCTTCTGACCTGTGAACATGTGCCTTCCGTGCGGCTGACACTTTCCTCTGAAGCACCCGTGTGGCACCATGCTTTATTTCTGGAGATGGCACAGTGTTTACTTACCGATCCTCAACAGCGGTAGCACCAAGCAGAATAAGATCTTTCTCTATGTGTTCATAGGCTTCTGCTAATTTCTTATCTCGATCTTGAAGGGCCATCTTGCAAGTATCTAGCAATTTACGAATGCCTTCATATTCTTCTGCGCTGAGCCTTTTGTATGCAACGCACAGAGTCCGAAGTCCCTCCTGTGGGAGACAATGCATTTCATGTGAATTCCAGGGTCACTGTGCCAAAACATTATGTTTCAATAGCTTTCTCAATATTTCCTTTCTTTAATTTGAATTACTAACCAAAGAATTCTGAAATAACCAACCCTTAAATGGGTTGACCATTTACAACTGCGTTAATTCACATCTATATCAAATATAATCATTACAAATTACGGAAAAAATTCAAACTAAAAAGCATGGGAATAAATAATAAAACCAGGGCCATCCAAAGATAAGACTTTGTTCTTTTATTTTGAAAAACTAGAGGCCTGGTGCATGAAATTCATGCTAGGGTTCGGGGGAGATCCCCCAGCCTGGCCTGCACCCTCTTCAATTTGGGATTCCTCTCACAATCTGGAACCACTGGCTCCTAACTGCTCACCTGCCTGCCTGCCTGAAGCCCCTAACTGCTCCCCTGCTGGCCCTAACTGCTCTCCCCTGCCAGCCTGATCCCTCAACTGCTTATCTGTGCTTCCCTCCTGGCTGACCCCTGTCTATCTGTTCTCCCTTCCTGGACTGATCCCCCTAACTGCCTATCTGCTCTCCTTTCCTCTCTGCACCTTTGTCCTTCGGACCCCAGCACAGGCTTGCCGAGAGCTCTCCACCATGGCCTCGCCCCAGTCTTGATTAGTCATTACATGACAGCATCCTGGCCAATTTGCATATTCCTCTATTATTAGTATAGATGAAGAGATAAACTTTTTTTAGGGTATTAACTTGCAATTCTATGGTGAATACCAAGTGATATTTCTAAAGTAAACATTTTTTTACATGGGAGTTTGTAATTCCATTTGATCTTATGTAGCGCTTGCCGAAGGAAGCGGCTAGGCTATGTATCAAACCCATTGGGTCCACAGGAGAGTGAAATAGGAATTTAGGAATAACAAACTCTGCTGTGATCATAATTCTGGGCATCACCACACACAGAACGAACACATCACCCAGCCAGCGGGGCACATGTAAGTTGGGCTCTCAGAGCTGCGAGGCCACACACAGAACACTGGATTCCTTCAATGTGCTAGTGTGGGGCTTTCACAGCAGGAATGTGCCTGTCTCTTCCTCTCCGCCTGGCAGGATGGCTACAGGGAGTTGGTCTTCTGCCCCTCCCAGAAAACATTAGCGGATTCCCAGGAGCTGAGAGAAGGCTCATGGTATAATTTGAAAGAAGTGAGTGTGTGCCCCTGTGCACTGTGGGTACACAGAATGCCTGATGAAAAGTTTAATGTCAGACAGCCAAGTTATTAGAGTTGAGACAAAAGTTTAAAACCAGTTATAAGGGAAAGGGACCACCTGGTTAAGAAATGGGCCCCAGAGGGAAAAGTCCTGTACCCTTCTCTGTAGGAGGCCTTAAGGCAGGAGACATAATGCCATAATGGTACGCTGTGGGAACCCTGAGATTTAAAGTCTGGGTTTCCCTGATGCCCAGGCAGCACTGTTTGGATAGAAGACACTGAATTCCATTTTGGTCCCATGAACTTCCTTTCGTTCAGATATGACTTGCATCTGAAGGAGTGGAGGGGTGCATGGGAGAACCCGGGGGGCAGAGAACATCCTCTCCCGTCCTGGACACAGACCTCAGGGTTTAGCAACAAGCACCCCGTCCAGAGCCTATCCTACTGGCTTGTGTGGCTATCAGTGTGGCCAGCGTCACACAGCCATCTGGCCACTGTGGGAAAAGGCCTCGCTGTCATTTCAGATATGGTTTTGAAGTGACTTGCAGATGGGCTGCCCCCTCAGGAGTAATCTCGCACACCCTGTATTAAAGCTCATCATCTGTAAGTGGACATCCTGCTTATGTACATGTAAGTGCTTTAAAGAAGTCCTTCATCGTCTATTCCAAAAGACTCACCTCAGTGGGTAGGAGAAATTTGTGCCATTTTATTTTCATGATCCTGAACACAAAAGGTTCCATCATCTTAGACCTGCAGCTTATTTACTGATTTCTGCTGGTTCTGTGGCAGCTGCTTTGTTGGACCAGTAGGTGTTACTAGGCGCTTTATACGAAGTGGAAGCCAAAGGGTTTGCACTTGGCAGCCACATTTAACAGAGTTTACCACTGCAGCAGCAGCTGCAGGTGTGCATGGTCTCAGCGGAAGAAGGATGCTTCTCGGACAATATACACATTTAATGCCATAATATTTATAGTCAAGCAGGGGGAGTGTGTCTATGAAGAGCCACGCATCGTTGGCTCACAGTCTGATGTGGAGGGGAGGAGGGTGGCCCTCTGTCAGAGATGCACAGCTTTTCCCACACCCACAGCAGTCCTTGGAGAGAGGGACCTGGAGCCTGTGGTGCGCGTGGGGGATAAAGGGTCAGGGGGAGCTCGGAAGCTCAGAGTTGCCGACAAACGGAACAATATTGCTGAATTTATAGGACAGACTATGCTTCAGAATGAGAGGTGGGAAGAAGACCAAACAGGTGAAGACACATGAAAGCCTAAGAGCCTTTGGAAAAGGAATCATTAGAAATTGTTCAGCATAAAGATCTACTTTCTCCAATATAATCACCGCAATGTGCTTAGAATGTGGACCCCACAATCATCTACCAATCAACCCAGCCCCCACCTCAAAATAAAAGGAGATATGCAACAGGTTCCTGAGTCCACCTGCTGGGGGTGGTACCCAGGTCGAACACCACCAGTGTAGAAATCAATGGGGGATTTTCCAGGTTGTGCACACGTGGTCTCTTCTGACTTTAAGTGCGTCCCTTAAAGCCATGTGGCATCCTCTGTTAGGAGTCTTTCCTTCCTGACCCAGGAGAACCGTGGGACCCGTGCCCCGGAGCCTCCCATCTCACCACAGCATTGCGCTCCACTCTGGCTCGGATCTGATCCACTTTGCCTTCGATGACTCGGGGAAATATTGAAGAATCTGCTCCTTTGCAGAAGAGAAAAATTTCTTCTAGAAAATGAGAATAAAAAGATGTCTGATTTAATCACAATTTGGGAAAGACTAAGTTAGTGATCATATTATGCTACTAAGAGATAAAAACAGGGATACCAGTGCTGAGACTGTGGTAAAGGAGATTTCGTTCGTTCAGTTACCATGAAAAGTCAGGAAAAAAATTACATCTACAGGTCACCCCAGAGCCTCATCTTATCCTTACAATCCCAGAAACCTCCTAGGAAAGCCACAAACAAGGAAAGCCAGTGGCTCCGGCGTGTCCTGCCTTCTGTCACTCTGCCTTCTCTCGGGTTAGGATGTGAGTGAGCAATGAAATGACCCTGGGACGAGGAGGGGTAAGGAAATGAAGGGTGTGGCTGACCCAGAGGTGGGGATAACAATTTGTGAAATGCTAGGAGGTAAACATCAAATCCCAGGGGAACGCAATGCACTTTGACGTAGAACATGGCGTCTGAGTCACCATCAACCAGAGTTACAAGAAATATGTGTTTTATCGTTGTGGCCCCACCTTTCAAATAATGTCCCAATTACGGCGCACATATTTGTAATGTAGATGCATGCTTCTTGTCCCTCAAGATAAAACGATTTTCTCTTCCAGAGAAGTAGAGACCCCACCTGTGCACAAATTTGTGTACTGGGCCTCTAGTTAAAAATACAGCACAATTTTTGCTCATACAAGTCTTGAAATTAAGCCAAGGGTAATGTCACGCTTTGGCCAGAAAGAATGTTGTCTGGTGATGTCTGTGTTGCCAGCACATGACCTGAACTGTGGCTGAGCAGAGGCTGGGACAGACCTGGGAGCATGGCCAGCCACATGGAGCAGGAATCCACCAGAGCAGGAAGTCCCATCCCTAGAAGATGCCAATGTGACCGCCCAGGTCTGTGACCTGGGATTCTTAGTCACATACCCACCACCTGAAGTCAGAATCCATTCCCGTCTGCCAGACAATTTCTAGCCAATGTTCCTATGTCATCAGATACAGTTTGGAACAAGAACTGAAGTCCAGATGACATAATGATACATCCTTAAACAACAATACATTTCTTTTTCTAGGAAAATCATGGGTGACTCATAATAATGGCTTGTAAAAGGCTTAAATTCTTTACTGTCTCAATGTGTCGATTCCTCTATGCCACTTTGGACATGGGACAAGTTTGGTCTTAAGATCTGGGTGAGGAGAGACTTGGATACAAAAATATCCACAATATAAAGCAAAATATAATCTTCAAAGGCAAGAGCAGACACTATTTGGCACCAGCTTAAGATCTTCTTTTCTAAGTTTGTAAGCAAGCAGGCAGCTACTAACCCAGAGCGCTGCACACACAGGTGATAAGATAAAGCAGCACACAAGTGAGGTGACCCTAACTTGCAGCAGCTCACACAGGTGACCTGATGCTACGCTACAGAAGAGCATGCTGTGGGACTGAGCTCAGCTCTGACGGCTGTAGCTCACTTCTCAGTGGAGAGCTCTCAGCAAGAAATTCAAGTTGTTAACTGGCTGTCTGGCCTATAGTCTCCAGTCTCCCCTAATGGAGTCAAGGGTCCATTAAGTTGTAAAACCAGTGCAATCAGTGTCATCTCCGGGGATGTTACTACTTAGAGAACAACTTGTTGAATTAAATATTCAAACTTCTCTTTTAATGAATTGATGCAGGGGCCAGGTCAGATGGCATGAGAAGTCTAGCTTCTAAGCCCACAGTTCCTCAAAGATGCCTTCGGAAATATGTAGATATCTCCTGGAAGAGATATTCTAATAACGTGAATGCCTTGGGCATACATTCTTAATGTGACATTGCCCCTTTTCAAGTGATGCCCTTTTTGATGGTAAAAGGAAGTTAAGGAAGATTCTGGGGCACATCCCGTGGGTACCAGCACTGTGACCAA